CTGCTTCCACCTCCACAGAATGAAGGAAACGTCTCTGGATTACCGTGCCCTGATTAACGTACCTGTGAATCGAAAATGATAGTTACTCGGGGATTGGGTAGATTTTCACATTGCCTCAGGCTACCGAGAATACAAAAGCACCGCCTTTCTCCTTTCTCCTAAGTACTGCCCCAGCCACAGGAACAGAGTAATTGAGAACAAAGTCCCTGTTCCAGTGAGGTGCTCAGTGCCAGCAAGGTTAATGTCCAGGGGCAGGCTCGTGGCGAGAGCAATGCCATATTTACTGCTGTGCTTGCTGCTGCTCTGATGCCACACTCACTCCTGCTACGAACGAGGGGCTAATTTCTGATCCTCAAAAGGCAAAGGCATAGCAAGTTTGTCATTAAAATCCGCAGCAGCATGCATGTGATTAAAATGTTAATGTCAATATTGTAATCGAGGTCTGACTCACAGGACAGCTGGTAAGAGACTTGATCTGTATTGCTTAGCCCCTGTCACCTGATGCAGACCAGGGTTACAGAACGTGCCCCATCACATGGCAGGGATTGGCATTCACTGGCTCGTGTGGCGAGCTGGAGGCTGGGAAGGGACAATCAGCTCAAAACCAGCTCCAATATTGCTAAGTTCAGTGTCAGCTGCACTCCAGCCAGGGGGAAACTTTTCAATACATTTCCTTGGCATCACCTGAGCTGCAGCTCTGCTGCAAAGGCACTCACATCCCCTGCCTACCTGCAGTGCTGCCCCTGGGTTGTCCTGTCCCCTGGCCTCACTCGCCCATCTCTCTTGCTTTTGGAATTTTCTGTGCTCATTTCTATCCAGTTGAGTTTTAGACATTTAAGCCGGTGGTAAATTTTGCCTGATGTTGTCTAAGCACCGAAAGAGCTATAGTCTGCAAAGCTTCTTTTCAGTAAATTCAGGATTAATGAAGAAGGCCTCTCTATTGTTGGAATGTCTAATACAATTATCCACTGAATGAATGGACTAGGCAGCAGTGGAGGGCTCCCAGGTTTGTGGCAGGGAATTGTCTGTTTTAACATCCATCTGTTTTCATTCCCTCTGATCCATTATCATTCACCTAGAGTTATAACATGATGAATATCATTGTGCAGAATGCCATTTGATGCTGGGGGGAAACAAAACCACTGTAGGTCTGCCTTCTATTGAAAACACGAAATTGCCTTAGTGGAAGGAAAGGCATGATTGATTCAGAGATGCTGTTTCAAGCAGAGGCATCCTTTCCCATGTGGACCATTTGATTTTGTTAATTCCTTTGGATGACCCTTCTGCTGCATCTTTCAACAAGAGAAAATATATATACAAAAATGAGAATAACTGTGGACAATCATAGTGCTGCTGAATTTGTGGAGTTAATTGAAGAAAATAATGGTATTCACAACTTTCCCCAGAAGGCACCTTTGGTTTACGTTCCCAGTGACATTAAACTCCCGAACGTAAACACGGGATGAGAATCTTGATGACCCTGCTGACAGGAAATAAAGAAAGCAACTTTACAGGCAATTTCCACTGTCCTTGTTGGTCAGCAAATTTGGAAGTGAATGAAAAAAAAAGAACTAGAAATGCATATTAATGATGGAGGGCCTATAACACAACGTGAGATGAGTCCTAGCAAGAGAAACTGTTAAAAACGCCCCAGTTTCTCTTTTTTAATTACTTACCCTTATGATGTACTTATAAGCAACATAGAAATTACCTTGTAAATAAAAGGACAGGCTCACCAGTGTAAAAAATAACTCGGTGAACTCAGTGTGAATGCTTGTTTCTACAAAGTGTCCCTTAAAATATTGGTAAAGCAAATGCAGTTGTTAAACCAAATCCGTTGTTAAACTAGGTCTATCTAAATGTAGACCTTTAATTAACAACCATCTCCGGGATCTTGACTGTGCCTTTCAAATATCACACATTTAAAAAAATACTGTTCAGTCTCTTAATGAAACAGGAGAGGAAATACCCTTTGGAAATCCAAAGTCCAGCAAAAACCCAGGACAGATAACTGTCTGGCTCCCCTCTAGCCTGTAATTACCCGAGGAAGCAGCTAGATTTAGCTATCTTCCTTCTTTAATTGGCACACAAAAGATTATAGGATTTTATTAGGACACAAATGACACCGATAGGAGTGTGATTGAGGCATGCAATGCATGACTGACTATTTGCATTAAGAGGCTTTGCACTACACATGGGATTTCTACCTTTGGTTTTAAATGGCTTAAATTTAAATGACGTTTCTATCCTACATTTTAAGAGGATGATATTTATTTTAGCGCTTGTCTAAGTATGGCAGGGCAACACTCTTGCCAGACACCAGAAACGCTTCTCAAAGAACCTGCTTGGGAAGGTTGGAAGGCAGTTAATTTTTGACTACTCTGTTGTTACAATTAGATCAGGAACATAAGAAAATGATAGGAAAATGGGTATTGAAGTGCCCACATCGATGTTTTGATGAGTGTGTTAGACGTTCAGCTACCAGCCTGCCACTTCTGGGGACACTAGCCTGAGGAAACCACCATCCCTGGTGATGACTGAACTGGAACACAGTGTGAGCAAACAGCAGATTTTTTTGGCTTCCCTTATCCCATAGCTACCACTAACTCTGAATCTCCTTCATGGACTTTTTCCCTTATACATGAATCTCAATGGATTTCTTTAGGCTTTATTTCACAACATCTTTCTAATGTCTCTCACATCCAGAACTAAAGTCTACCCCCCCCCCAGGGAAGGTGAAAGCAGCTGAAGAAGTAAGGAATTAAACCGAGTCAGCCCCACACAAGGAAGGGAGTACCCAGAAGTGATGGTAACGTGCTGCAATATCTGACTTTGTGCAATAAAAGATGATAACAGGAGGATTAAGTCCTGCTACCATTGCGGTATGTAGGACAGCCCTGGTCCAGCACACCTTCCTCAGTGCTGTCCTTAGGACTGGGCACTGCACAGCTGCTCAGCCGGCCACCAAGCCAGTCCCTGTCCCAAGGGAATGCCTGAGGACCAAGCCTTAGCCTAAGTGATCCCGGGGAGAGGAGACAGGGCCTGAAACCGCAGGGGATCTAGAAAGGGAACAGCCCCTTCTCGCATTGCGGAGCCCGAATAAAACCTCAACGAGACGAATGGATGGGGAGCAGGAGCTAATGAACAGGGATGGTGAAAATGAACTAGCTAAGGAACAGGGTCTCCTGCTTCCATCTCATGAGCCCCAACCCTCGGTTCTCTTACACTGCTCCTCGTCCCAACTACAGCCCTGGCTGCCCAGCTCCCGTGTCCTGCACCCTCATCACCAGCTCATTTCCTAACTCGTTCCTTGACACACAGATTGTTCCCTAGCTCACCCCTCCGCTCTTTCTATGTCTCTCAGCTCTTCCTGCGTTCCCCAAGTTGTCCTGGACCCACAAATGATCCTCAAGCCTGACCCTCGGTTCAGATTTTAATCCTCAACTCCTCCCGCAGCTCCTTCCCTGTCGCTGCCCTCGAACTCCAGCTCACTCCTCGTCCCCGGGCTCATCGTTTGACCCCGGGTCCCACCGCCGGCCGCAGCCCGCCCCCTGTCCCGGCTCCTCTCCGCGTCCCCTCCGTGTCCCCTCGGTGTCCCGGGGCAGGGCGGCCGCGGGGCCCGGGGCAGGAGCCGGCCCGGGTGAAACTTTTCGCGGGGGCCCGTGCGGGATGCGGCGCCCCCGGCCCGCGCGGAGGGGAGGCGAGGCGGCGGCGGGGCGGGAAGGAGGAGGAGGAAGGGGGGGGGCCGGGGGCACGGCCGGGCCTGCGCCGGGGAATGACGCGCAGCTGGCAGCCCTGCTCATGCGCGGCCGGCCGGGCGGTGCTAGCGCCGCGTCCCAGCTCGGGGAGAATGGGGCGGCATCCGGGCAGCGCCGACTGAGCGGCTTCTGGGGGCCGGGGCTGCGCCGCGCCGCGGGCGGCCGGGCTGGGGCGGGCGGGCGAGCGCCATCCGGCAGCGGGCGGCGGCGGCGGGGGCGCCGCGCCGCGCCGGCGGGGGGCTGCGAGCCGCCGGCGGCGCCCGGCGAGGAGGGGTCGGCGGCGGGGGGCGGCGGCGGCGGCGGCGGGCGGCGGCGGGGGCTGCCCAGGGATTGTCTCGCTCGTTCCGCGGCAAGAAAGTTGGGCGGCGAGCGCGGCGGCGGCGGCGGCCCCCCCGGCGGTGCGCGGCGGCCGGAGCGGGGCCCCGGAGCGGCGCTGCCCCCGGGGAGGGGGCGCCGCGCCTGGATTATCCCGAGCTGGGTCGAGCCTCCTGGATCTGCCTCTCTCCTCCGCGCCGAGTGAATCCGAGGTGTCCTCGTCCTGATCCAGATAAATCTTCCCCCCCTTCTCTCTCTTTTTTTTTTTTTTTTTTTTTTTCCTCCCCTCCTCTTCCCGTCGTTGCTTTTTTTGGGGGGTGGGGGGAGGCGGGGGGTGGAAATTTGTCAAGGTCATTCCGTGGATTTAATATTTTTTGTGTGTGTGTGCCGCTCGCCCCACCGCCACCGCCACCCAGCCTTGCTCTGTGGATTATCATCGCCCTGGATCCGAGGCTCTGAACAGCAGGATTTTTTTTGTTGTTGTTGTTGATTTTTTTTTTCCAATAATTATTATTATTTTTTAAGGGCTTCGGGGTTTGGAGAAGGGAAGCGGTGAGTTGGAGGGGGGCGACTTTTCTCTCCCCCCGCGCCCCCCCCACTCCCACCCACCTCCCCCCCTCGCGCCCGGCCTTCTCATTTTCATTTTTTTTTTTTTTCTAATTTTTTAATTATTATTATTTTTAAATTTTTTTAATTTACTTCTTCTTCGGCGATGGATGGGAAAATCCGGCAGAGCCGGAGGTCGAGGTCGCAGCGGGACCGCGTGCGGCGGCGGGAGGCGGCGGCCCGCGACCCGCGGAACCAGAGCCCGTCCTCGGGCTCCGAGAAGGAGCCGAGCCCCGGCAAGGAGAACGGCGGCCAGAACTGCACCGCCCCGCGGGGCCCGCCGCCCGCCGCCCGCGCCGCCCGGCCCCCGCGCCGCCGCCGCCGCGAGTCCAGCTCCCAGGAAGAGGATCTGATCGATGGCTTCGCCATCGCCAGCTTCAACACCCTGGAAGCGCTGGAGGTAAGAGAGCCGGGGGGCTCTGCCCTCCCGCGGGGCGGGGGCTGGGCCGGCGGGGAGAGAGAGGGGGGGGGAAGGGGGGGGGGGGGGGGGGGGAAGGGAAAAGAAAAAAAAAAAAAAAAAAAAAAAAAAAAAAAAAAAAAAAAAAGGATTTGAGAAAGGAAGCGCGGCGCTTTGAGGCTGCTGAATTTTGCAAATAGCAATTAACGTGCATTAATCGTGGTGTCAGCCCGGGGGGATCCCGGGGCTGCGGTCGGGAGGGTGCCGGGCCAGCCCCGCCGGTCGCCGCTCCGCTGGAACTTGCTGCCCCCCGCTCGCCGCTCCTTCCCTGCCCCGGTCCCCTCCTCTGCCCGGCTCCGGCCGCTGCTCGCCATCACTTCGGGCTAGTCAAATGTTTGTTTGGGGTTTTAATTGGCTGCAAAATAATCCTGGCGTGTTGGGATGGTCCGGCATTGTTGTGAATGGTGGAGCTTCCCCCCCTCCCGCCCTCCTTCCTCCCACTCCCCCCTCCTCCAGCTCGGGAGTTTGTGTTTGCATTGCCAAAATGTTACTTTATCTGTCTCCGGAGATTGTTAGCAAATGGCTAGTGTTTGACATTTTGTGGAAAAGAGATGTTTAAATGGATAATAATCCCTCGGTTGTAATTCCCATTTTTGAAGTAATTGAACAAATTCTTCATCTCTTGTTGACTGTACATATTTTTCTGGTGTTAATAGGCTGGCAAAAAATATTGCTTGTCTAACTTATTACAAACAATATTTGCTAAGCAAATACTGCCTGCCTTGTCTGAGCTAAGTTAAGCAGAGCAGGAAATTTAATATTTTCAGAGGGGCATTGACAAACTATGACTTTGGCTTTTGATTTTTGTTTTGTTTGTGTACGAGGGGAAGGAGTGAGCTGTCGAGAGGAAGCACCTCGCAAGCTGCTTCTTGGGTGTAATAACTTGAATTCCCAGTAAATGTGAGCAATCCTGGTGCTTTTGCCCACTTTCTTTGACACACCATGGTGGAAACATGGGCAAAGTTTTGGGTGCTCTCCCTACTTTGGATTTCCTGCCACTTGTGTGTGTGTTAACCTGTGTTACAGTAGTGAGGAGTTCTGCAAGGGCTGATGAATGCTCTGATTTGCCCTGGGATCTTTAATGTCTTTGGCTCAGACTGTGAGGTCCCATTTTGTTCCTGGGCTTTGCTGCTCCCCCAGCCCACCCCTCCTGCCACGCAGGCCTTTGGTGGCATCGTGGCTGTTGGGAGTTTTTTGCCCGTACGACCAAGTTCTCAGAATCCCAGAGATGGTCCCTGTGTGGCCATGGAGGTGTCAGGGGTGGCCTTGGCCATGTGCCCTGGTGTCAGGACCCTTGCTGGGGGAGCCAGGGCTTCTGCTCAGCAGGGACATTCAGCCCAGTGGTCCCTGAGCAGCTCTGGGCGTGCAGGTGCTGGACAGGGAAGAAGGTTTGTGTTAGCTTGGTGATGGCTGTTCTTTGGCTTTTTGTGGTGTCATTTGTGGGGTGTTGTCCTAACAGGAAAGCTGACTACTTTGTGTATGCAGAACTGATAATGAGCGAGCAATCCGCTTTCGTGTGTCTCTAAACCAAACCCTAGACCTGTCTGTATAACCTTATTTTTTTCTTGGGCATGCTCTTAGTCAAATATGCATCAGCAGATAGGTCCAATTAAACCCCTGAGTCTCTACTGAGCTGTCAGGGAAGAAAGTAAAATTCATCTTCCTGCAGAAATTTTCTACCATGATGAGCACATTATCAGGAAATAGAATTCAAATGATAGTGCAGTCCCTCCAGGCTGACTGGGAAAACTCTGGGTTTTTCAGATGGGGTGAGCCTTGTTATTGAATCAGTCAGACCTTGATAATAAGGTACACAAGGGTAGAAAGTGACCTTAAATATCTGCCCCCCAAGGTACTTCTGATTGTGGAAGCACTTCTGTTTTTTCTTTAAAAAGAAAAAAAAGATCCTTTACAAAATGATCCACTTTAAAATCCTTGCACAAAACTTCAGTACCATGTGAAATGAACCAGTTTCTGCTCTATTTACAAACATGTAGGAGAGTGCCTTCCTGAAATTAACTGATATCTACTATATTTACCAACATGTCAGAGAACACCACCTGAAATTAACCAATTTCTACTATATTTACCAACATGTCAGAAAAAAGCATGTGTGCACCTCTGGAACCATGGTGGTTGTCACCTCAGAGGGAAAAGTTAGATCAGAATTCACCTGTTTCACCCCAGCCAGGTGTGTTATGTTCGAGGTTGTGTTCTTGGACATAATGATGGTGTGCATTTCCTAAATCCATGTAAAACTGGAAAGAAGAAAATACTCTACATGGTGTGGATTTTTTCTTTGGACTGTGGGTGATGTCTGGCAGAGGTGATGCAGCAGTGAGGGAAGGAGATGGTTAAGGCAAAAATACTTTTAAAGCAGTATATGCCCATGTAAATGACTGAAATGGCAAGGTCATTTTGTGTGGTGTGGAGCTGTGTTCTCTGGTGAACTTTACTGCAACAAGTGGTTTTCTTCTTCTTTGGAGGAAATCTGTATTTTGGTGTACATTGGTTTTTTTAAGACGATTTAAAATCTGCTGTAATGCTTTTTTAAAAATAAAATAAAATTGCAACCTTCTGTGCTCATGAGGGGGAAGAAAGTATAGAAGGGAGTACATGGCCTAGGGACAGTACTGAACTAAGAAAGTATTTTATTTAATTTTTTAGTCCTAAAAGGAGCTTGAGTTGTATGTGTGGTAGTTCATTGTGGTGTTCTAGGTTGGTTAGTTTCTTGATGTTACAATGATCTCCGATTATGTTTAATAGGCTAACTAAGCCTTGGGTTTCCCCTTGGAAATGAAATTTCTCAGTGTTTAGGTGGAACTTAATGGTTGAATCATTTGGGAGAGGTAAGGTGGTTTTTTGGTTTGTTTTTCTTTGTATCTCACCATGTTGTGAATTCCCCTTCCCCACTGAAGCAAATTCTCACCGCTGGTGTTCCTGTAAGTAAAGGGTGCTTTATAGAATAAATATATGTATTCTTCCTTTGTGTTGACCTGGCAGTATGAGCAGTTAAGGTTAATGCTTTGAGGTCTCCTTTAGCTCTCTGGTGTGAATTTTAAGCATTTTGGATTTTAACTCGTGTGGCAATGTTTCCTTTGGCAGTTGTCATCTGAAAGTCATGTGTCTTGTTTCAGCGACACTTGTGACTTGACTTATGTATCTCCTATCCTACCATCTTCCAAATAAAGACTGAGTTGATGATATATATATATATATATATTAAATTAAGTAAAAAAGAAAAAAAAAACCAGCCCCACAGATAAACAAGCAGCAGCCTCTTTCTGTGCATAAGAAGTTAAAACTTCTCCTTTCTCTTCCTTCCCCTGATCTTGCTGTATAAATCCAGCTCAGGTTTCAGGCAGGTGACTGCTGATGTGTGTGTGTGTGTGTAGTGGTGTTTTGTTTGGGGATTTTTAGTAGCCAGCCACTCACCACGAAATGTAGTTTGCTGTGTCCTCTTGAGGTGGTCAGTGAGATGCTCAGCTGCTGGAAAATCCCCCAGGTGCTGGTGCTGCCCAGGAGATGGGTGCTGTGCCAGGGGTCAGGAAAAAGCTGGCATGGGGCAAGGGGGATTTCTCCCCGCCTTCCGAAATGAATGGTATGGATGTGAGCATGTGTGTATATTCATTACGTTCAGATGAAGCTGCTAATTATTCTTGAAGGTGATTGGTGAATCAGAGCGAGAGAATCTAAATGAGTGAGTCGGTAGTTGAGGGCTCTCTCTGATCATAGCTGTTCCTTTCAAGTATGAAAAACAGCGCTAAAAGGGAACTTCATCAGAATGTTAATGAATGCGATCTTTGAGAGCAATTGTTCTCCCAAAGTAGTTGAAAAGACAAGGGGTTGTGTTTTCTTTATGGCTGTTGTTTATAATTTTTACAGATTCCAGCAAAGCTTTGGAGCTCTGAATGGAAATTCTAACTTTCTTGAGGGGTGTGTGTGTGTGTGTGTATGGGTTATTTTGAGGAATGTTTAACCTGTTTATAGAATCTTGTGGAGAACCCATGCTCAGATGTGTGTGATGTGTTGTGTAGAGCTGAAAAGGGGCAGACCTTGACTCTGTGCACGTGGTGTTGAAGTGGAGATGCTGCCCTTACAAGCTGAGCTGGGGCCCAGCTGTGCCCCAAGGAGGAGAATGCTTTACCCACTCCTGCTGTTCGTATGCAGAGGCCTGGCAGTGCTGCAGCCCCTTCTCTGCTCTGCATGCCTCGGTGCAGCAGAGTTTAGAAAGCCTTTTGCTCCTAGTAGACTTCTGGACAAAATCCATAAGTTCTCTGGCTGTCATCTTGATAAGGCTGTTTTCACATGTGTGCTGTACACTGTCCTGTTACTGTTGCTCTGATCTCTCATTGATAAGAAAACCAATGTATTTAACTGCAGTTTCCTGTTCCAAAGGTTTTGTGCTAGCTCCACTGACCTAGCGATGTAAATTCTGATTTGTCACCATCTCTCTCTATGTCTACTTTGCAGCTTAGATTTTTCCATAGCTAGGTTATGTTTTAAAACAAGTTTCTAGATACTTAAATATTTTTTCCTTCTACTTAATTGTCAAGTGATGGTGTATCAAGCTAGCATTTCTGATGGCCAGTTATTCCTCTTAAAAAGTGCTTTTAACCCCAGGAAAGCTAATGATTTTCTGGATGATGCTCTAAAGGCTCTAAATGCCTTTTGGTTTTCCTGAAGGCTTGCTAGTCTCCATTGATTTATTCTCCTAGCTGTTGATTTTTTTTTTTTTTTTTTTTGCATCTTGTTTGAAGCAGGTACTTAAGGTATCTTTGTTGTTGAGGAATCAGAGGTGATTAAAGCAGAGGGGGAGAGCTGTGGAAAGCCTGAAGTATCTGCTCAGCTGGGCCAGGAACTGAGGGGAACAATGTTCCCTGCAAACATGGTCGAGTGGTGGGCTGTGGTAAGGAAAGATCCAGCTCTTCTGCTGGATAGGG